CCCCCCCCCCCGAAACACACACAAACACACACAGGCTAGTTGCCACGGCCCACTCAGGAGGCTGCATCTTCCTGTGGGACATCCGGACCGGGCGCGCCCTCACCTCCATCCTGCACCACACCGACCAGACCCGCTCCCTCGACTTCTCCCAGGACGGCTCTTCCCTCCTTACGGGTTCCTTCGACGGCCTCATCGGGGTGTGCGACTGCCGCCCGCGGGGGACACAGTCGACGGCCTCCTTGCGCTTGGGAAACTCGCCGGCGTTGGGTGGTGCGAGCGGTGGAGAGGCCGAGGACCCGGAGGTAAGGCCCGTCCTTTTTTTTGAGGGGGGTCGGGGGTGCCCGATTGGCGGATGCCCGTGAGCGGGATGTCTGTGGAGCGAGGGCGGGAGGGTAGGCTTATTGAGAGGGCTCTAGGTTGAGTGTAGGCTGCTGCATGTGGAGAACGCGAGGAAAAAAAAAAAACAGGAGCGTGGAATAATCGAGGGGTATCACATTGCTTGAGTGGGTATCGCCACTATGGGCGCGTCCATTTTTGTTTGCTGCAAGTGGGAGGATCACCCCGTCGTATCATAGAGGCAACCCAGTCGCTTGGGCGCTCTTTTGCTTTGTGCTGGTTGGCCTTGTTTCCCCCATCCCCGCCCACGTTCTCCTGCAGTCTGTAGCCGCCATCTATTTACTTCATCCTATCCTATCGTACATTAGGGAGGTCAAGAGGCATCCGCCACTTTTTTTGGTCGGGGTATGCGTATGCATATGTTGGCATGATCGTACCTGTAACGGTGCCCTCACACGAACAACGCCAACCATTTGGCCCCAATCGCACCGTCACCTTCACTTCGTTTCTGGGAAAAAAGTGTGGCACAGGCGTGCGTCGAGTCGAGAGGCCGCGTAAGCAGGCGCAACCGTATGCACACAATCAGCAAACAAACCTCTTCATGATAGGCCGCCTCCATGCAAGCTCCGAGGTAGATGGGCACGATCCGAACTACATGTACATACCCTTGTTCGCTTTTCGATCTCGCCCGTGCCACGCCGCGTGATCCCATCACATCAGATGGACGTGCGAGTGATGTCCATGCTGAGGGCCCACGGGGGCCGGGTCCTCCAGGCCAAGTGGAAACCCCGCACGGCGGTAAGCGGAGGAGGCCTGGGCTACGGCGGCAGACCCGCCTTCCTGACCAGCAGCACCGATTGTACAGTCATGTTGTGGACCCTTTCGGGGGGGATGGGGATGGCGGCGGCCGCGGGGAGGGGGGGGGTAGGGTATCTCCATCCTACGGGGTCCCCGGGGCGGGGGTGGTGTAAGGGGCCAAGCTTCCCATGGAGCTAGGCAAGACCGTCAGTTCATGAAGCGAGAGACCGCTTGAGGAAGGGGATATGTATGCTTCCCGCTCCGCCCTGGTTTTTTCTTTGGTTTGTTTGTTTCTTGTGTCTTGTGCCTTGGCGTGCAACATATATCCTCTTTTGTTTGAAGAAGGTATACAGGAGATTCAGAGCCGATCCTACCTGCGGTATGATTGCTCCTCCTTTGACGGGCAAGTAGTATAAGTTAACTTTCCTATTCGTAGGAGTCCAGCCGATGACCGCGCTCTTGTTGTGTGTTTCGTGTAGAGAGAGAACCAATATATTTACGTGCTTCTGCCAGGTCGACGGGTCAGTTCTCGAATCTCCGTGGCGGAAAGAAAGGAATCAGGGCCCTAGGTAGCGTTGCACGGCCACCGTTAGGGATGACGCCACCCTTACAGGTTTTGGTCTTTCTGGACGACTGGAGGAACATCCATGTGGATCACCCCCCCCCCCCCCCCCCCCCCCCCCCCCCCCCCCCCCCCCC